GTAGTGCGTGAGATTCGAGCCAGAGAACTGAGAAGAGGCACTAGACCATAGAGACTCGCATGTGAACGCGTTCAACACTCAACGTGACTAAGCGCCATTTCGCACAGATCGAGTGCTCAGCGAAAAACTGAGGAAATCTCCGCACGGCTTCCGCTTATTGGACACTAACAAGCAACCCGGACGCTCAACCCGCTCACATATTGGCGGACAGAAAATGGGTACAATGTTAAATGAGCTGTCCTTTGCAGACGATGTGACCCTTCCATCGAGCACAGTAATGTGGAATACGAAACACATCACTTACGTGCGAGAAGACTGCTCACGCTCTGCCCACGCACGCGTGAGCAGAACGTACGAAATGTAGGTCTTTTCTAACAAGTTCCAAAACTTTGGAACGCAACTTCACATCTTCACAAAACCGGCCTGGATTTGGAAAAAACTTCCCAATCTTAGCCGAAACCCACTTATCAAATACTCTGCTTGATACGATTAGGGCTGTCTTTGGTAAATTGAACGTATCTCACGTGCATGCGTGAATCGAGCTGCATGTGCACTCCAGGACCTCTGGACCACACGTGCCACTCTCTTGCATTCTCTCTGTCGAGTTTAGAGTCGGGTCTGTCTGACAGTTCCCAACATACTTCTATGTGGTTCACCGTCGGAATTCTATCTCTCGTTATCGTGGCTCAGGATGTGGTCAGAGGCTCGAACCAGGTGACTGGAGTTGATGACATCGAGCAAGCCTTCCAGGAGTTCATAAGAATGTGAGATGCATCGTCAGATTGATAGCGTTAGTTGGCGTACAGCCACGCAGGTCCTGCTCTATTTCAATCTCACAGGTATAAGAAGAAGTATGGTTCGAAGGAACAGTACGAGGTTGCGAAGGCTGCGTTCGTGCATAGTTTGAGGGAGATAGACGATCTGAAAGCCTATGGTGAATGATGTCGCAGTGCGACAGTCGCACCCACGATGCCAACGATTATGCTCTACTGTTGTGTAATTCAGGCGATATATCTCATGAGATCGGCCTCAATGAGCATGCTGATATACCACGTGAAGTATTCAATGAAGTGTTAACGTGTGATCAGGATCCTGAACCCGAGGAGGATCGAACATTCTCGAATATCAATGGGTCAACCTGTGAGGCTACTCTCTTATCGCTTCACGCAGAGGATAACCTCCCCAGACCTAGAAGACAACTTGAAGGCTCCTCCTGCGTCGGTGGATTGGGAGGCTCTAGGCGCGTTGGGGCCAGTGCGAGATCAAACAGAACATTGTGGTAGCTGCTACGCGATAGCAGCCGCTGGTGAGTTTCCAATTGGATCGAATATTCCGGCGTGAAGCCTCACTCGTGCCTGTCTTCGTTCATCGCCTTGGCTGCTCCTCTTCAGTCGTGCTGGAAAGCCGTTTCAAAATACAGGCTGGGATTCCCAAAGTCGTCCCATTCTCAGTTCAACAGATAGTCGACTGTAGTCAGCCATATGGCAATAAGTGAGTCGACGATACTTTTGTCTGAGCGTGGGTGTTCGATAGGGAATCCATCTTGTACTTGTTCTCACAGTCATAGCGACTCAGTGTACTTCAGGGGCTGCACTAAAGGTTCAGCGATCCAATCATATAGATATGTAAGAGCGAAGGGTATCGTTAAGCATGCCAGCTACCTTTATGAGGCTAAGGTCGGACCGTGCAAGACACAAATCACC